CGACGTAAGTTTTACACTTTTTTATTATTAAACTTACAATTGACACGTGTAAAATTTTTTTATATTTTCCGGATGTCACCCTCAATCGTTATTTGAATGCGACATGCAAAACCAGATCACGAATACTATTTCGGCACTTTGTGCCTCGTCCTTGAATTCAAATGTGACATGCAAGGCCAAAATACAGATTGCCAATTCGACACTTCGTGCCTCATCCTTGCAATCAAAAAAATTGACAATTCACCTAGGAAATGCATTGTTTATAGAGATATAAGATATGTGTATTTTTTTTACGAATCGATTTTTTGATACGGAGTGGGGGGATGGAGGGTCTATTTATATGTTTTTCATTGATTTATTAGACTACTAGCACATGATCATGAAATAGTCTAATTTATTAATAATTACATCATTGCATATTTATAAACCAGGATGCTTTGCATCCAGTTCGGGCATAGCCCTCACAATCGGCACGTTTTGCCTCAGCCTTGGTGGAGAAAACGTTCACAAACCAATCAAAAACCAGCAACCACAACAATGTACATGACTTCGAATAAAAGAAAGAGTGCCAACACACGCATACCAGGATCATAGTCATAGTTATACCTACCTAGTAGATACATACTCTAGTCATAGTAGATACATAATCTAATCATAGTAGATACATAACCTAGCTAAGTAAAACATAATCTAATAGATTATGTTTCTACTAGATTTTTTCCTGATAATGCTTACATCCATCTCTTCAAACACTTTTCCAACTTGTTTGCAAAAATTTCTATTAGACCATTTTCTATGAGCTACAAGAATTTGTGTAGTTGTATTAGAGGTTGGAACCAGTTTGATTAAAATCAGTTGCAACCAGTGTTGTCACTGGACATGGACATGGACATAGACTGTCTGGTCCGGGACTGTTCGTGTCTGTGTCCATCACTTTAAATGTTCCAGACTATTCTTGGACAAAAATATAAATTTTTGCCTACTACATATGTAAACTTGATAAGTCGGTCACTCAATAAGTCAGTCACTCAATAAGTCAGTTTACTTGATAAGTCAGTTTACTTGATAAGTCAGCCAAAATTTTCAAGTAATTTAATTCGATAAGTCAGTTTACTCAATAAGTCAGCCATATGAGCTCACCCCCCACATGACCAACTTATCAAGTTTACATATGTACCTCTTTTTTAAAGCTTTGGTGAATCTGTAAACACTTTATGGTACAATTAACAAAGCAATAAAGCTCCTGTAGAGTTCCTTTTATTTGCTT